AGAGCCAGGCCCGAGCCCGAGGCTCCCCGCACTTCTGCGATGGCAGGATGGTGCGATGGCCCGGTGGCAGGAAGCCCCCGGGACTGAGGCTAAAGGAAAGTGCTCTTCCCTGCAGGCACCCTTGCTGACAGAGGGGAGTCACACAAACCTGTGCAAATGACAACCCGACCACTCCTATCCCAGCTCTGCATTGTCTGACAACACACTTTTTCCTACATCTTCATTTAAATTTTTCTTCTATACAGAAAATGAAACCTGACTGAGGCTATTTTGAGGAATTATGATTAGATATAAGAAGAGAGGAGGTAGGCAGAGTCTCTCTCAGGCTCCCAGGCCCAGGCCCAGGCCCAGGGGGACAGCCTTCCGTGGGTACAACCAGAAGGGGCAAAGCATAGGAAGGACTTCCACTGCGTATCTTTCTTACAACTTCAAGTTTTTAAGTCACAATTGTGTGTATATACATATACACATATATTCAAATGTTAAATTTTTAAAATAGAAGTAAAACACCACAGTTCAGTACTGATTAAACATTTAGGAAAAAAAATTTCCTCAGGCTGAAAGACGGCATGAAGCTAAATGCTTGATATTCTGAATTCCAAGGGCAGACATTCTTGCCAAGTTCCCAGTTTCTTACCAGGATTGTGGTTCTCCAAAGTTCACATCTTGATTAGCCCAGGGATTTGTAAATATGTTACAGATCAAGGGGGATCAAATTGCACACAGAATTACGATTTTTAATCTGTTGAGGTTAGATTATTCTGGATTATGCAGATGCACCCAATGTAATCAAGAGATCCTCCTCGGTGGAAGAGGGAGGCAGGGGGTGCCATGTCAGAGACAGTGACACAGCATGAGGACTGGTCTGGTTACTGCTTACTCTGAGGGCAGAAGAAAGCCTCCAGCTAAGGAGCCCGGAAGCTCTGGAAGCTGGGAAGAGCAAGGAAGCGATTCCCTTATTAGTGTCCAGAAGAGAACATGGGTCCCCCGGCAACTTGGTTCCAGTCCAGGGAGACCTATTTGAGATTCTGACCTCCAGATGATAAGTGTGACAACTTATTACAGCAGCAACAGGAAATGAACACATCCACACAAACCATGAGATTCAGTCTGATGCCTGGTCCCTCTTCTGAAAGACAAGAAGCCATCACTCATTGAAATGAGGGCCACAGATCATTAAAGCCCTAAAAATGTTCAGCCAACCTAAAAAACAACTTATGAAGGTGTAAGAAACTCTTAAACATGCGGGAATTCAGAATATGCCATCCTTCACTGAGATAATATAAACACCCAAGAGAAGTCTCAATGGCATTGGAAATAAAATGTCAATTCTGGACAGGAGAAAACCATGCAAAGCAGTGGCCAGCAGTGACTGGCACTCTTGAGCATACTTATACTTGAGTGCAAGTCCAGGTGAGGCTGGTGGTAATACAAACATCAAACTTGTATTTGGTTATTAGAAAGAAAGGATAAAGAACGGGCTTCGAAGGGAGGAAAGAACAATCGGGGGTGGCCTCTTCATGGGAGAGGCAAACTTCATAGTGGTTAGGAAGTATAAAGTGATCTCCTTCTGCCCAAATAATGACCAAGAATGGGGAGACGGCCTCCATCCTAAGCATGCTGAGAGCTCTAATTTAGCAAGAGAAAGGGAACCGCCAGCCAGCGTAAGACCCAGGTAGCATATTAGCACATACCAGGTGAAGCAAAGGAATAAAGCTGAACTGTTCCATTAAACCTAAGATTCACTTTTCATTTTGAAAAATCAGGGTGTTTTTTTTCCCTGGGATCGACCACTGAGCTACACCCCCTTTTCGAGTTTTTTGCTGAGGTTGGCCTTGAATTTGGGGGTCCTCCTGCTCAGGCTTTGGAGTTGCTGGGTTACAGGTGTGGCCACCATGCCCCACTGGTAAGGTCATTTTTTTTTTTTGTCCTGGGAATTAATACAAGGGCCATGTGCATGGAAGGCAATTCTCTACCACTTAGCTACATCCCTGCCTCATGTGTGTTTTCTAATAAGTTAAGGGATAGGGGCTGACAACAAGTGTATGGCATGATAGGGGACAGAAGAGCTGGAGTGGCAGGAACATAGGTTAAGGCAAGGGGCGCACTGTACTGACCTCCACGTTTTCTTTTCTAAGAAGCAATTTGCCTGCAGCCCTGATGGTCTTGAGTGGACAGGATATGTCACATCCCTCAACAAACTGTTAACTGTAGGAAAAATACAGGCCTGAAATAATGTCCATAAGAGGAACCCAAGCCACCCTGAAGGGGGAACCTTTTGTGTCCCTTTCACAGGCCAGATTTAAAATTCAGGGAAATGAGTATAATTCCTCCTAACTGTAAAATCTGTAAGAATGTGTGGTTTAGGGCTGGGTATGATGACAACAGAGGCTCAGGAGGCTGGGCAGGAGGACCCAAGTTCAAAGCCAGCCTCAGCAAAAGTGAGGCACTAAGCAACTCACTGAGACGTGTCTCTAAATAAAATGCAAAATAGGGGGATGTGGCTCAGTGGCTGAGTGCCCCTGAGAACTCAATCCCCAGTACCCTCCACCCCCCACAAAAAAGGGGGCTGTGGATGTGGCTTGGTGGTTAAGCACCCCTGGGTTCAATCTCTGGTAACAAAAACAAAAAAAGAATCCAATTAGAACTGGTCAGCACAGGCCAAAGTGACCAAGAGTTGTCATGGCAGTGAGGTCTTCAAAGTCTGATGTCACGCTGTCCAGTCAAAAGTCAAGAGGTGGACCTGGGCAGGACTCTCTGGAAACTTCTCTGGGATCCCCAATAAAACTAGAGCACAGGAGGGGCACGTTGTCCCTCTCCTCTCTGAGGACCTACTTTCTCCCTTGAGAGTGTCCCCTTCCCCTTTTCCTATCCCTTCTATAAACTCATGCCTGTTACTCTGAGCCACACGTCTGAAATCTGACTGGATTGCAAGAATCTGGGTCTGAAGGGGGCCTTTGCCCTACCTCAGCCTCCAGAAGGCCCAGCCTGTAACAGGGAGAAGCATACCACACAGAGATAAGGCATTAAAATTAGTATACAAAACCTGAAAATAAATAGCCAAAGAATTACTCGGCCACATAGGAGCAAACTTTCTATCTAAAAAGCCCGACAGTAAACATAGTCTTGTGGCCAGTCTGTTGCAACATTCCAGTGGCGCAAAGGCATCAAACAACAAATGGACGAGCAGGGCTGTCCAGTGAGACCTGACAGAACAGGCAGCAGCTGTACTTGGCAGAGGTGGGCACCACATAAAGATGAAAGGTGTGGCATTTGGTCTGGGGCTGGGGCTCAGTGGCAGAGCGCCTGCCTCGCATGTGGAAGGCACTGGGCTTGATCCTCAGCACCACGTAAAAATTAAAATAAAGGTATTGTGTTCACCTACAACAAAAAAAAATATTTTAAAAAAAGAAAGGTGTAACATGCACGTAGAGGATTAGTAACGTCCTTACAGCCCAAACAACAAAAAGCAAAAGTCTCAGGAATTTCGGGACTTTTTTTTTTTTAAAAGTCAATTTTAGGAAATTCTGATCCAATATATCAAGTTATATAAGAATATAGAGAATTTTATCATTAAAACCCACTGGCTTTAACAGATTTATTTCAAAAATTATATCCAAAAATGTAGAATGCATACATTTTTTGAAGTTCATGGAACATATTTAAAAACCAGCCCTATATTTAGCCATGAAAAAAGACAATCAAAGCTGACATTTTCAGGCCACACTTATCAATCGTAAAAAAAAAATTAAATATTTTTGAAGTTATATCATTTGGAATGCTTTTGGATGCAAATTTACAAAAGACCCAACTAAAACATGGGCAGTGAAGGTTTATTTCTCGCACAGAGGCATCAGGCTGCCCCAACCTGGGGTCTCCGGGCTCTGAGTCGGCTTCTCCAGGTCCTTTTTCCTCCTCTTGGCTCCACGACAGCTGCAGTCTCACCTTCCCACGTGAAGATGTCCAACAATGGGAAGTGCACAGGGAAGGAGCGAACTGCTCCCCAAAAGCCCCACTCACAGTGGGACACACTGGTCACTCTGAGTGGCACAGGAGGTTGGAAAATGAGAATCTGACATTTTCACATCCTAAGCAAGAGACGATGCTGCCAATAAGGTGAGCTGCCACAGCTTCTGGGCAGGCAAATGACACCTGCCTGTGACAGAAGTCACAAAATACGACCCAAAACAAGCTGCCCATGGGGAAATTAAGAGACTCTCCCAAACAGACTCTTCCTGAAATAGGGACACAGAGAAATGGTGATGACCAGGAGATGACCACCTGCCCTGGCACCACTCTGTCCACTGCTGTGCGGCCTGGGTCTCTGTAGGCTGACCAGTACCCATGGTGTGTCTGAGCTCGGCTCCCCGGCTTGTGTGCACGCAGTGCTCAGGAGGAGCATGGGCCGTCTGACTCCTTGGTGTGAACGACCTGCTCGTCACCCTTTATGGTACCTGCATGATGTACTTCCCGGGGAGTAATCCAGGAGTAATTCAGTCAGTTCTTCACCCACCCCCAAGAAAACTAAAACTTGACTCTTATTGAAATTAGTAAGCGGAAGTTAGAAAATATGATTCTGAATGTGTCAGAGATAAATATTCCCCAACCTTCCCCGCCTGATAAATAGTGGTCTAAGCACATTCCTTTATATCCACAAATGTTTCCGTAGAGCTTACAACCTCAGATGAAAGACAAGCTCTGAGCGAAGGCCTTCCCACCCCCTTCCCCCTCAGGCCTTTCTGTAAGGTGCGGGAGCTGGCAGCTGTGGCTGGCCTGAGCTGCTGGGCTTTCCCCTGACTTCCATTCACATGGCTGCTGGCCAACACAAACTCCCTGATGATCAACAATGGGTATGTGCCGACGGCGGGCTCTTCTGCACTCGATAAATTCGTGCGTGTTTCTCCACTCCGCAGCCTGGAGTGTTGAAGCGCAGTGGCACTTCGAGCAAGGGTCGTCCCCCATCCTTCATGTTCCCGGGGCTTTCCCTCAGCATGAGAGGCCTGGTGCTGAACCAGCTGGGAGCAGTGACTGAAGGCCTTCCCACACTGCGTACAGTCATACGGCTTCTCGCCCGTGTGAGTCCTGTGATGGACGGTGAGGTGTGACACCCGTTTGAAGGCCCTACCACACACCTTGCACTGGTAGGGCTTCTCTCCTGTGTGGATTCTCTGATGTTGCCTAAGCTGGGAGCTCACTCTAAAGGCCTTCCCACACACCTTACATTCATAGGGCTTCTCCCCCGTATGAATTCTCTGATGGCGAATGAGAGTTGATCCCTGATTAAAGGCTTTCCCACATTCCTTACATTCGTAGAGTTTCTTGCCAGTATGAACAGTCTGATGCTGAATCAACTGAGACCGATGGCTGAAAGTCTTCCCACACTCCTTACATGCATAGGGTTTTTCCCCAGTATGAGTCCTGTAATGCACTTTGAGATGTGAGATCCGATTGAAGGCCTTGCCACACTCCTTACACTGGTAGGGTTTCTCACCAGTGTGAATCCGTTGGTGTTCAATCAACTGCGAACTCCGACTGAAGGCCTTCGCACAGTCCCTACATTCATAGGGCTTCTCGCCAGTATGAACTCTCTGGTGCTGTATGAAATTGGAACCAGAATTGAAGGCTTTTCCACATTGCTTACATTCATAGGGTTTCTTGCCAGAATGAATATTCTCATGCTGAATGAGTCGTGAGCCATATTTAAAGGCCTTCCCACATTCCTTACATTTATAGGGTTTCTCGTTAGAATGAATTCCTGGATGATTAATAAGGAATTCCTCCTGCCAGAAGTCATTTCTACACTTATTATATCCATGTGGCTTTCCTCCAGTGTGAATGTTCTGGTAAAAAATGAGGGATGTTTGCGGGTTCAAAGTGGGTATTTTTTCATGACTGATTAACATTCGACTGAAGTGCTTGTCTGGACCTCCTGGTTGTCTGTCAAACTGAGTTTCGCAATCCCAGTCGCCAGGCAAACCCGAGCACCTGAGACCATAACTTGCAAGTCTTTCCATTATCTCCCACCGGGGCGACTTGACTTCATGAACATGCTGCTCTGGAGGTGACACTTTGGTTTCATATCTGGATTTCAAGACTAAAAAAGAAAAAAACAGTTATGTTTTATTTTTCTTTTCTAGAAGGAAATTTAGTAAAAACTGGAAAGGTTAGGCTCAAAATAATACTTATAAGCTCTTGAGTGTGGCAGAGCAATTAAAAGGTGGCCAAGTAGAACAGAGAAAGAAAAACAAATACCATAAATGAAACGAGGGTGGTAATCAGAGAGATGATAAGAGTAGTTCTAAACATGTTAGTGTATATCTCAATCACCTCTGAATCACTTTTTTTAAAAAATAGTCTTTATGGCTGGGTGTGGTGGCCTGCACCTATAATTCCAAAGGCTTGGGAGGCTGAGGTAGGAGGATTGTAAGTTCAATGCCAGCCTCAGCAACTTACCAAGACACCCTCTAAATATAAAAAATATATAAAAAGGACTGGGGATGCAGCTCAAAGGAGCATCCTGGATTCAAGGTTCAAGCCCCAGTACCAGCAAAGAAAAAGAAGCTGCCATGAGACACTAGAAGAGACAGATATGATCTGACATGACCCAGAAATGGCTGTTGCCTGGAGCATGAAGGAGCATGTGGGAGGAGCATGAGAGAGCCCAGGGAGCCTTCAGGTCATGCCAATGTCCTGCCTTGACTGTGTGATGGTCACACTCATTAATATCACACTTAAAACAGGTACATTTGTTGAATATACATCATCCTCAGTATTTTTCAAAATCATGGAGATTTCACAAGATATAAAAAGTTCAAAGTGGCGACAGTTGCACAGTAGTGGATATGATCACTACTGAATTGTATACTTAATGGTTATCATGGTAATTTTTGTTATGTGTATTTTATCACAATTTCAAAAAGTAAGACTAAGTGGGGCTCGCCCTGTCCTGCCTCGGCACCCAGAGGCCGTGCTGACAGGGCTGCTGCGGCTTCTGTGGCGTTTTCTGTCACTGAAGTTTAGCTGACCACCACGGCAAAGCCACCGACAACTGAGCAGCCTCTCCTGGACCTTTCCACTGCCTACGGTGACTGAGGAACAAGAAGCGCCCTGTTTTAAGATGATCAGGCACAACTGATGAAGGGTGGGTCCCTTCCAGAACTACATATTTTGCTGCTTATTCAAATTACAAGCAAAAAGTGAATGGTGTATTAGATCCAGAGTTCACAGGCCCGAGATTTCAGTTGAGGTGGTTACTATTACAGCTACCAATCCCATTTGGCTAAAAAAGACTCACTGTCAGCTTGATGTCAAGGAACCACAGGGGAAAGCAGATGGGTGCTTTTGTACAGGCCATGAAGTGTTCTCAGCATATGGCCTGGGAGGACTTCACGGGTACGTGTTTGCCTTGTATGGTGGGCATATCGGTTTTGCTCATTTTGTTGTTAAAGTATTAAGCAAAAACTATTGGAATATAAAGGTTGCTTCTACAGCAGAAGGTGAGGAAGACTGTGAAAGATCATGAGGTTTTGTGAAAATGATGTGGCTGCTGTCACTTCGTGACCTTGTGCTACAACCATAGTACATCCACACAACTCCATGAAGAGACAGTGCAACGAGGCAGGGTAAAGACACACCTCCAGGCACCAGCTGTGCAGGAGGAAGGTCGAGCCTCTACTGTGGCCAGTAATGCATCTGGCGAGACAGATTCCAAACAGTCACTCACGATGTCCCCCTGTACGGCCCTATTCAGTGGTGAGGACATTCCACCAAAGAAAGGAAGAAAGGAAAGGGCACCAAAGGATGGCAGCAGACCTCGGAAGTAAAGCTGGCCAGTGGACAGAGGAAAATGGTGTGGGACAGCCAGCTTTGCCCCGTGGCCACTGTTGGAGGAGCAAAGTCACAGTACCTTACTGCTCTTTTTTAACTATGTGGGAAAAAACCTTGGCTACTCCCAAGGAAAAGCCTTTAAAAACACGCCTTTCTCTGTGTGCCAATCTATCACATCTGCCTTAAATGGTCAGATTTTATCCATCAATGGCAGAGCGTAGTGTTGACTCCATGAGCATTTTCCCAGTCTTCTAAATATAAACATCTCTGATTATATTACTATCCAAAGAAAGTACTATCATCCTGATTTCTAACCTCTGTGTCTACTTAACTCCTTGTGAATGTGAAACAGCAATAATATAGTGAGGTCTTATCCCGGGGCTCAGAAGGCTGAGGCAGGAAGCTCTGAGCTCAGAACCAGCCTCAGCAACTCAGCAAGGCCTATGCACTCGGCGAGATTCTGTGTCTAAATAAAATATAAATACAAAAAAGCGGGGGGTGGCAGGTGGCTGTGGCTCAGTGGTTAAGCATCCCTGTGTTCAATCCCCAGTACCCCACCCTCCAAAAAAGTGAGTTCTTCTGTGGTTTCATCTTTCCTGATGAGATCTGGAACAGCACAGGGAGCTATTTGGGCATTAGTACTCACTGTTTTGAACAACCAATGAAAAAAATATCTAAAAATCTTATGAACAGTCAGCAATACAATATTTTGGTTTTCACTTCTAACAAGTACTTGAGTTTTGCATAATTAAACATTTCAATTGTGAGTACATCAAATTCAAATGGAGATAAGTAAAGACAAACTATTAATTGTTGGGGATAACAGTGAAGTGTTGACTCTTAGTTATATTAGTACACACTGTGCTGGCACCTTCTCCAGGCTTGTGACAAGTGAAGACAGCTAGAAGGCAACTGTCTTTGGTAGTTTATTCATGACGAACCTGGACTGTCAACTATTTGTCACACCCAGCACCATGGTTTGGACATGGTCCCCATGAGATGGCACTGCGGTGGTGGGACCTCTAAGAGGAGGGCCCAACGGGAGGTGATTAGAACACAGAACACCACCCTCCGAAGGGGCTAACGGCTGCCACCCGGGAGCAGGGTAGGCCTCATGTCAATAGACCAGTTCTGAGAGGGAGCCGCTTTATGTGAGGCCACCATATATGCTTGGCCCTTCTTCATGTAACCGTTTCACTCTTCTACCATGCTATGATCCACAGCCAGGAGGACCTCACCAGACACCAGCACAATGATGCTGGGACCTTTTAGTCACCATGAGCCACATAAACCTATTTTATTTATAAGTGAGCCAGCTTCGTGTATTTTGTTATAACAAAACAAAACGGATCAAGACCTAAGCATCATGTAGTAGTAGCTGCTGAAAGACCTACTTAACAGAGTAGCAGATGGACTCGTGAGTCCCCTGGCTCACAGGAGACACTTCCCTCAATTTCAGAGTCCAAATCTGAGGACTACGGACACTTTGATTTCAGGCCCCTGAGCATGTGAGGCAAGTGGTCCACCACTGAGTCACATCCCCAGTCCACACCCAGTGCTTTTAAATGCATCTGAGCAAGCTGTGCCACCAAAGCCTTGCCTTACCAACACGTGTGAGCCATAGAACTGACTCTACTAGAGGAGGCACACCAACAGTAGATCTGGAACGCTGAGACGGGGCCAGACTAAGGTTATTTACCTGCCTTTTGTCTTATAAAAAATGCTAACGACTTTATGGAGCAACTTGATTACATCAGAAAGAGCAGTTTGGACTGTTAAAAAAATGAACGGCAGCCAGGTGCGGTGGCACACACCTATGATCCCAGCTGTTCTGGAGGCTGAGGCAGGAAGATCCCAAGTTTGAGGACAGCCAAGACAGTGTATTGAGGCCCTGAGCAACCTATAGAGACCCTGTCTTAAAAAACAAATACAAACAAAAAAACACTAGACAGCTATTTCGTTATTTTTAGATTTATTTTAAATTAGAGATTGTTGCTATCACTAGCACTTCTTAGTTGAAAATATATTAGTTTAGCTTTTTCCTCCTCCATTATTGGCCCTGACTCTAACATTCCTAAAAATACACAAATTTCTGAATGATTTAAATTAGGATACTTAATATAGCAAAATATTTAAAACAAGGTTCCAACATTCTGCTCACTCAAATCTCTTCTCCATCATGCCTTCGTATTTCTTGTTAATCTAAACGTTGTGTTTTTTGTGACTTTAGGAACCATGAGCTGGGTGCAGTAGAGCATGCCTGTAATCCCATCTGCTCAGGAGGCTGAGACAGGAGGGTCGTGAATTCAAAGCAAAAGGGAGGTGCTAAGCAATTGAGACCCTGTCTCTAAATGAAATATAAAATAGGGGGTTGGGGCTGTGGTTCAGCGGTAGCGCACTTGCCTGGCATACATGAGGCACTGGGTTTGGTTCTCAGCACTGCATGTAAATAAATAAGATAAAGGTCTATCCACAACTAAAAAAATATATTAAAAAAAATACAGGGCTGGGGTTGTAACTCAGTGTTAGGGTGCTCGTCTAGCACATGCAAGGCCCTGGGTTCGATCCTCAGCACCACATGAAAATAAGTAAACAAAATAAAGGTATTGTGTACAACTAAAAAATAAATATTAAAAAAAAAATACAAAATTGGGCTGTGGATGTGGCTGAGTGGTTGAGGGCCCCTGAGTTCAATTCCTGGTACCAATGAAAAGAAACATGAGGAGCTGGGGAGCACTTACCAGGCACGTGTGAGGCACTGGGTTCAATCCTCAGCACCACATTAAAAATAAATAAAAGTATTATGTCCACCTACAAGTAAAAATATTGAAAAGCTAAAGAAAAAAGAAACACAAGGTGAACACAGTGGTGCACACCTGTAATCCCAGACACTTGGGAGGCTGAGGCAGAAGGACTGCAAGTTCAAGCCAACCTCAGCAACTTAGTGAGGTCCTACGCAACTGAGTAAGAGCCCATCTCAAAATAAAAAATAAAAAGGGTTGGGGATGTGTTTCAGTGCTAAAGTACCACACAAAAAAACAAACAAACAAAAAACTTGTGAGGAACATGCTACCTA